CAGTCGTATCTAGTAGTTCAATTATTGAATAAGTTATTTGATTAACTTCATCTGGAAAAAGTCATCTGTTCTAAATTAAAATAAAGATATGCTTGCTGTTAAAAGTGAAAAGTCCTGAGTCGTCATTTTTCTCCATGTCTCAATCATCCCAGCTTCATCAACCGTCTGCCAGAACGTCTAATGGAATAGCCTCACCATTCGTCCACGATGTGTTGGAATAACTGAAAAAATTACAGTTATTAATTAGCCGGTAGGATAGTTTTCTGCAGCCTGAAACCTCAATCGAAAATTTAGTTCAGCTCTTCAAATCATCGTTTTGCGATAACTCCAAGATAATGTGAAAGAAGTGAATCATCAAATTTGTTTTTTCAGTGTTTAAAAAATAACAGATAATTCTTCTGCTGTGGTGTTGTGCAAGTGCTTCAAAAAATATTCACGCGTTGTGTTTCCAAATTGAAAGTAATCTCTCGATAAATTGAGGAGTTCAAATGCCTAGTGAAAAGGAAATCATCAGTGAATTACCGTTTAGGAATTAAGCATTACAGCGGGTTCAAGGTCGATCTGAGTTAGTGTTCGCAAGTATGTGCGACAGAAAATTATTTGCACTTCCGCTTTTTCAACAGCTAAAAAATTATTCCATTCATGTGAATCTAGCTCAGGACTAAATTATTTAATGTGCTGCGGATTCTATAGTTTTCATTTCAACTTTGGTTAAAATTTCTGCAATTTGTTTTGAGAAAATCTGAAATTCTTGTTCATTAATTTTTCTAATTTTTCATAATTATGTGTGAGCAAGTTAAGTAACTAATTTTAAGCTATTTAAATTATTTGTAGGAAAGGATATTAAAATAAGTTTTTATGTTTTTGAAATTTTGTTGAGAATTTTGAATACGAATTTTATAATTATTATAAAAATGAAGTAGGTATAAAAAATAAGTGAAATTATTACAGATAAGTAATATGAAATTATGGTAAATGCATGTTAAATTTATGGGTTATTGTATGTTAAGTATAGTGTATGTCGAGGGAGTTCCGGTTTCCTAAATAGAGGCCTGTAATTACCTCTGTACAGTTATTCCCTTCACCCTCTTCAAGTAAGATAATGTTGGAGGCTCTAATTTTATGAGTGTGTGTAATTTTTTATATTATTATTATTGTTGTTATTTTTTTTATTATGATGGAATGTATTAGTGCAGTTCTCAAAGGCCAGTTACCTTAATGCAAAGAACGGAGGCCTTTTCAAGTAACTGCCTAGGCACCCTGGGCCACCAGTGCAGAGAACACACTGGTTAGCTCAAGAGGACAGCCCTATTTATTGATATGTTTGTTTAGAAGTATTGCAAGGCTTCCAGTTTGGTAAAATCAGGAATTGTAAATGAAAGATGATAACGGTGAAACCATAAATTCCGAAAATCTTAATCCTGTTATATGGTATTAAAATATAATTTATCAATATGAAAATTAATATCATAAATATTTATATGCATTTAATTATAAGTAATGATTATGTAAAAGTTTATTTTGTGATATTCTGTAATAACAAGGACCTTCCCTGAAGAATTTGATTATGTGAAATCTCAAACAAAAGGACTTTTGGACTGAAATGCTGAAAAATTCAATAGGACTCTAAAAATTAAAAACTTATTTAAAAAATTTGATATTTATAAATTATACTTTACAGGACAAAAATTGTATGTTTTTTTTTTTTTTTTTTACATTTGCTAGTGTTTTAACTCTTTCTCTTTAAAAAGGCTTCTCTGTCCCTATGCCTTTTTCTTTTTGAAGGGGGGAATATGTAAGATAAAAATATATGAATCAAAAATTAATATAACTATAAACATTAATTCTTCTCTCTATCTAAAATCGAAATAACTTCTCTGCATTGTGTCATTTCTAGATCACTCTATGGCCCGCGCAGCTCTGATGACGTAATAATTGTAAACCAAAACTGTTCTCTTCGCGTGCTTCCATCTTTCATAACTACGCACTTCAGCTTTTGCTCTCTACTGTGCTAAGATGTAATTTCGCTGGCTTGCTTTCTGTCCCAACAATATCAAAAATGTAAATCTTCTGTGGAAAGGCACGACTAGAGTGCCAAGTGATTGTGGCCACAAATATCAATTGGAAATAAAAATGGAATTAAAACTGCCTCGACTGCCAAGTTCTTTAAATACTACGCAATCAAAATTCTTCTTCAATATGAATCTAAGCACGCATCTACAGTGTTCCGTCATTTCCTTTGATCTTATTATGACATATATGTAACAGTTCATGCTATTATGTCAGCTTGGAACTTAAAAGCAAGTTTCAGTTTTTGTTTTACAGGAAATTTTTCAAATACATCTAAATCAAATTTTAGTGTATTTTAAGGAAAAAATAAAGTGGAAAAAAAATTTTTTTAATTGTAACAAAATTTGTCAAATCTCAAATTAAAATATTGTTGCGTTTTTCTTTTATGACACCAGTTGTTACGTTATTTTCTTCCTTCACGTTCGTACGGGGTTCATGTGGATTTGGAGTGAATAACGACGACACTTGATGAAGTATCGAAACACACTTTATTGGCTGGTATTTTATTCGGACAACTCTAAAATCTCGTTCACAGTCGTCGAACTGTTTTAAACACGCTGAAACAATCAGCGACACAGCTTTGTGGTTATCAGCTATTACGGTGGAGACAGCTTCACTGCAAGCACCAGAGTACAGCTCCTGACTCTGCTTTGTTGTTCGTGGAACTCCACGTACTCTCGACACTCTCCACGCTACAACTCGAGATGCACTCGACGACAGAGGATGGCTCCCGACTCTTCGGTTCAGTTGTTCCCAGAGCTCAACACGCTCTCTCGACGATGCACTAACCACGATACACTAACAGACTCTTCAGTGCACTCGACGACCCACTCGGCACTCGCTGGCTGGCTGTCAACTCGATCGTCTCCGCATGGATTAACTAGATGAGACACACTAGATACTAACTTTCTCGCACTCTAGATGATCCACTCTGGCTCGCCCTCTCGACAAGGCACACACTCACTGACTGTGGACCTAGCAGGGTTTATATAGCTTTCGGCTTGTGTTCGAGAACATTCTGGACTAAACCGGTAAGAATTCAGAAGGTTCTCCTTCTGCCCATGGCATATCGCCAGTTTTGTCGCCAAATGTTGCCAAATGAGTGATTTCTCACCAAATGTGGCAACACTGCCTTCCCTTGCCATTTTATGGCAACCGTAAGCCTGCTTTGTGTGGAAGCCATCTTCCCACGCCTGTACATTTCATAACAATATAAATAAAATTACTAATAACTACTGGTTGTAAATGAAATAAAATGTTATAATTATAATGTTATAATTCAAAATATGAAATTTTTGAAAATGCACACTTTTCTCAAAAAATATTTTTAAACAAAAGAAATTTGAAATTTGTTGTTTAATTATTATTTATTAATCCACAAAATAGAGAAAGGCCATAACAAGAGAAAAAAAAACTGCAATTAAATTTATTCAAAGAATATGAAAATCATGTAGTAGGATTGAAATCAGCAAACAAAAATTTTAGCTTAACGTCATTAATTATATTTTATGTTTTGTGGACATCCATTAACTGTCAGTACTGACTTTCAGGTCATTGTCATTTTTATAAAATAAATCACTTTTATTATTAAATTACATTACTGTCATATTCTCTGTTCATTCAGTTATCAATTTATGCATGATTTTTTCGTAAATTTTTAGTTCTGTTATTTTCTCTCAAACCATCCTGTATCAAAATATATTTCAATTGATTATGTGTGCAGCATTTTCAAAATCATAAATTTATAAATTATATCTTGGACAGTATTTTTGGTAAATAGTGTGTTTGGGGGGGGGATTATGGCAAAGCCTCGAGGGCTATCTTTTGGTAAATAGAATTACAAGATAAAAACAATGTGCAATTCTGTGCAAAATAAGTCTTTTAAAATCCCAGCAGATTTTTCTGTGAATAAAATTTGCTATGCAAGCATAAATTTTTACTACATTTTATTTTAATAATAATTTGTATTTTTACAATATAAAGAAAAGTCGTAGAACTTTTTTTAAAATTTTGTAACATTTATTGAAACATTATTAATTAAATCATATTTACTTATTGAAATTTCAGTTGCATGACAAATAAGAATAATATACTTCTAATTGTGTCATTATAAATTCAAATTAAGAGTATAATGTTTTTGAGAGTAAATATAGTAGATAACTTAATTATTTAAAAATTTTTCAGTTAGGGGAGGTTCTGTCTTTCAGCTTCTTCTCTTGTAAAGGCTATTTTGTATATATATATATATATATTGTAACTTACAAACATTTAAAATACAGAAGAGAAATTCTCTTTGAAATCCATTAAGAATTATTTCAGAAATAACTAAAATAAATTTTTGTTGTATGCTTTTCAGAAAATATACTGAATTTGTTTTTGGATAATTTGTGTGATCTGTGTGTATTTTCTAAAATTATGAACTCTTCAAGCCAACAGGAATTTGAAAAAGATAAACATTTTTACAAACATGAAAGAATGTTTAAAAAAGCATCTTATTTATTTATAAAAAGCATATTATTCTTATTTATTTATAAAAAGCATATTATTGTAACTTTTCAATCTATTTCTGAACTTGAATTTGACTGTAATTTAGTTGGAAATATCCTACTCAAAGCTACATTATTTTTGAGAATATTTAGCCTGATGTACGTTATTTATTATATGCAAATCATTATTTATTATGAGCTTTAGCACATTACTTATTGTAAGCGAATCCTAAAAGTGATGAATTTAAGTTATTTATTCTACAATAGATTTCAGGTAAAGGATCTTTTTCTCTGTAATAAAATATTTTAACTTTCAACAGGTATTTATTGATAATTTTATTTGGCTTTTCATCCAGGAAAAAGAATTACAATTTATGTCTTAATGATAGTAAAGTATTATATTTTATGTGTTTGGAGTTCTCATCTTTCCAACTCTTTTAACAGGATTCACCTCTGGAGAGTTGTTTTTTCATGTGGCTGTATACTAATCTTCACCGTAATGAGAGAGTAAAAAAAGAGCTTGACACTGCTTTTTCCCAGATCAGAGTTACTAATTGCAGTGCTGATGATGTAAAGAAACTTTTTGTAGTAGCTGTTCAAAATCATAAGATTTTAACTCTGTGGCAAGGTGTTCTTTTTTTTCTATCTGTAAGTATGTTTTATAATTCTGCCAGGTAAAATTATTTTTAAAAATTGCTGTAAAGGAATAGGCAGTATGGAAACATTATTGTTATATAAATTAATGTATTAGATTTATTCAGTCATATTCAAAAGAAATGTCATGAGAGAACTATATTTAGACTGGATTTCCATGTAAAAGTACATTATCTAATTTATTTAAGAACATAATACAGTCTGAAATCTTGTCATCCCGTATCTGGAACTTCAGGCTACTAGCACAAAAAATAAATAAATATAATAATAATAATTTAAAATTCCTCTTCCCCATTACAAAGTCTAGGAATGGAGAATATAATGCTCAACAAATGAGGTCGGGTGTACCATAAATACGATTGATTTTTCTCCTGAATACCTGAAATTTCTTCATGTCGCTTTCAAACACCTGTTGGCTTGGGAATTCCATCCATGCCAGTGGCAATACATTGATTGGTGCTGGCCATAGTCACATTTTCAACCCTTGAGTGGTTGTAAGAGGGGATTAGTATTTTTCCGACCTAAGTAATAACTAAAGCCTCAATATTACCATATTTACATATCATCTTTACTGATGATCTAAAATCTGGAAATTTCAAGAATCGCCAAAGTTCTGACGATTTCAGATCTCGGACTTAGTACTGTAGTTCTAAAAATTCATAGTTAATTTAATGGAAGCATATAAAATTGTGTGCTTTAAGTTCTTTAATGTAATACTGAATAAGAATTTATGTAAAATATGGGAATTGTAATTGATTACTTTATTTAAATAAAAAAATAACAAATTTTCCTTTTAGTGTCTGTCTGTATTTTAATGGTATTAATGAGAAGAGTATTTAATTTTCAAAGGCTAAAAATATGTAAACTAAGGAATTGTAATAAATAATTTTAAATTTTATCAAATGGCATAAAATTTTTGCTTTATGCTCTACCATTCTTTCACCATCTAGAAATGACTGTTTTTAAAAGTGGGAAAAAAAAGTGAAAATAGAACTCCATTCCATTTCATTTCCATTTCCATTTCTATTTTATTGTTTTATATTCTAGTGTTCTATATTTTAAAAATGTATTTTCTTGCCCTTTACCAGTTTTTTTAATTGTTCAAAAAGATTATTTAAATTTGATATGCTGTCAGTATTTGATGAATGCTTTGAGGAATGTATAAATGTGAATAATATATATATATATTTTTCCAGTCTACCCCACTTTTACCATTGATGGACTTCTTAAGAAGTTTCATGGTTTACAAGAAATTTGATGCCAGTGTTGAACTTTTCCAGAATCATTTGTGGGATGTAAGCTTGACTGTTAATTAATATTTTCTTCATTACTTTATTTATAACATTCATAGTTAAATTCAGAATTTCTGAAAATCACTTATTAAAGGCAATTTATAAAACTTTAAGGACTAACTGTTAAGAAGTTTTATGTACCATAACTAGAAGCCATCCCCGCATCTTCCTATTTATTTTGTAAAGCATATTTAATTAGGATACCATTTGTTTGTTAATGAATTCACTATTCTTTAATTCATGGTATTAAAAAATGATAATTTTTATTTAGAAAATTTAACTTTCAAATTGGGGTTGAGTTATATTATTACACTTCTTATAAACAAATTAGTTCTAGTTGTTTAATTATCTATATGAATAATGTTATGTGTAAAATAAAATTATTTAATTAATTGTTTAAAAATCAGAAAAGTATGTCTTCCTTAGAACTGTTGCATTGTTATTTACCAGAATGTTTAAAGGACATCTTCAAAAAGAGTATGTAGTTTATATTTTAAATAACTTGCTTGATTTAATTATTGTTATACATATTTTAGTGAATCTAAGCTATATAAAATTTTATTCATCTGAGCACTATAAAAAGGGTTTTTAATTAAAAATTATATTTTTCTGTAATGTTACATAAATTATAGAAAAGTTATCTGAAATGTAGAAGTGCAGTAGATACCCTCTCAACTGGCCATCATGGGACCAGACACTTAATGGAATAAAAAATGGCCAGTTAAAGTAAATGATATGGAATACATAAACATCACAAGATGAGTAGGGGGGATCACAGAAACTCTAAGATACATGTTTACTGTTATCGTATACTTTAAGTTTAACTGTTGTAGACTATAGCTTGAAAAAAAATTAAGAGAAAAATACTGTATTTTAAAAGAAATTAAAAATTTTGTTATGCTTTCTTCTGCTTGTTGCTTTTTTAAGAACGAAATTACATGATTTCTTCATTAACATTATTTAAGTTGCAGTGAATTATATCTGCTGCTTGATAAATGATGTTACAAGCCCAATTTCTGCTTTATCTTTGTCGTGACTAAATTTGCCATTTTCCCTTGCTTTTTGGATGCTATCATCTTCTTTATCACTTTCAATGATAATTGCTTGAAGAATTCTATAGTCATTTAAGAATTCATTTCCAAACTCATTGTGTGCAGTTACACACTTCTGAATATCCTCTTCAATGAACTGATTACAGTCAGAAAATTTTCATAAATTGTTGAGCAGAGTGGAATTTTTACCCACTTCATGTACTGATGTGGGATTGCATTTAGTTATAGAACTACCATATTTACTTTCATATTTTTTTAGCTCAAGATTCTGAAATTTTTTTAAATATTCATCTAAATTTCCCCTTCTGTAGTGCTTTCAGAAAGCAAGCTGCCCTAAATTTTAAAATAGATTCATTCATGCAGTAGTTTTCACTTTACTAATTGATTTGTTTATGGATTTTGGGTGTGTGGGCTCTGATTGATGAAAGAATTGAAGCAAAGAGGTTTAAGAAAATCAGATATCTAATGCTGTTGAGTATTCTGAAGATCATTGCACATTTGAAGGTGGACTGGACTATAATGAAGACAGTAATAAAGATGACAATGGGGATGACTTGCAAACTGTCGCAGATGACACACGCAGCAGTTCCAGTGTCATTAAATGATTTGAGGCTTAGGAAGTAACAGTGGACAAATGTGGATAGCAGCAAGAGTAGGTAGGATTCAAGATACAAGGAAGTAAAAATGAAGATTTCTTATTAGGTACTGAAATGTTAACATTACTGGATATTCTTAATGGAATGCAAAATTCTTTTAAATAAACAATATTGAGAGAGTTGCCAGTAATTTATTCATGAATAACTTTTCATTTGTCATGTTCTTACATAAAGCATATTTTTCAAGGGGAAAAACTTTCACATAATTTTCCCTTTAATTTTCATATGATAAAATTATGAAAAATTGGATGGATACTGATGTATCCATCCAATTTTGGTATTTAATGTATTTTTTTCTATTTTTAATAACAAATATAGCATTTAATAAAAAAAAACTGCAGGCCTGAAACAAATATGTAACAACAAATGCCATACAAATTATTTCTTTGACCACACAGCTAATTAATATAATGGCCAGTTGAAGTAAGACCAGTTAAGATGGTGCTTATTGTAGTTGTATATATATGATGTTCAGTGTGATTAACTATTTTAAATTATGCCTTTACAGTATCCCCAAAATCGTGAATCATTGTCAGAGCTACATTCTTTGTTATGGATTGAAAATACGTCAGTCTGTATATTAAAAGAAGCTGTAATTGCATGTGCAACTAACTATCAAAGGCTCATTTTGCTTCGACATTTTTCTCACACAAGATTAGAAAAATCATTTTCCAAAGAAGGTGATATATTTTATATTTTTTTTCTCCCCTTCTCCTGTTTAGTAAAAAATTAATTAATGTTTTTATCACGTTTATAATTTTTAAGCTAAAATGCTTTCATGTGAATAACTTTTACCTGGATATGTATTTATGAATAAAATAAACAACGACCATTTAAATTTCTTTTTTACAACAGTAATATTGATAAAACAATATTTGTGATCTTGATTTTAAAAGTACAAATTTCTTCTGATTTGTTTCAATTGTTAATTTAAATTTAAAATTCGTATCCTGCATTTTAAATTTTGCATAATTATTAATTTTATAGAATGTTAGCTGTCAAGTGGCATTATTTTCTGCTATCTGATAATGTACCACAAATTACTACTAGGAAACTACGCTTAACATGAATTCAGTGTGAGTAATAATTAGCATGGTTGAGTGAATTGATATTATGTCTTGTTTTACAGACTGATTAATCACTTAACTCGATGACTTTAAATTATGCGATTTTTTTATTTTATTTTATTTATTTATTTATTATTTTTTTATTATATGCAGTGTATCTGCAGCTTACTTAGAAAGCTCCAGCCTTACTTAATTTGTGGTGCAGTTTTCGAAACAACAGATGACTGGCAAATGTTTGTTTGAGAAATGCTCTCAGTACGTACAGCTTTCCATGTGCGATCTCATAAACACAATGCATTTCATGGGTATTCCTCATTGCTGAATTGATGCATCCTTAACCTGCAACAACATCTTTCTCTGAAAAGATCCAGCTTTTTGCTCTCCTATACGCTTACAAACATTGCCCTCTAGCAGTTACAGATTGTGGTTTTGGATACAATTTCCTATGTAAAATTTGTTCATCATGGTCTGGTAGACAAGCACACAAAGTTTGTAAACGGCATTTTGGGATATCCTCTGTAGGTATAAACAAACAAACAATATTTCATCATAATCAATTTTCTCTCTGTTATAGTTTCTGTTCCACAGTTTATGAAAGTATGCCAAATGATTCAATGCCTTGGGTCAATAGAAGATTTTGATGTAAAGAGTTTTCTTCTTCCTGAAAATGATGTGAACTACAAGCATAGTTGTTGGGAAACTTTGAAAAAGTTGCTTGAAAATCACCTTTATGATGATGCCCGTACATTCACTACTGCTGCCAAACTTCCTGTCAAAGAAATGATTTTATTGCAGGTACTTAGATCTAAATTCTTTTATAATATTGCTTAAAGTAAAAAATATAATAATGTTTGTGTATCAAACTTGGTTAGAGTGACCACAAAATTTGGTTATGATGATAGAATTATCTGCCTATAACCATTTCTCATTAGATTACTGACAAGTTAATTTCCTTTTATTTTTTAATTCTTAACTGCTGGTAAGGAAGTGCATTAAAATATGAAAGAAGTACTTTGGCAGGGGATAATAAATAGTCCTTTGTAAATTACTATACTCACAGTGGTGAACATATTTTATTTCTCCTTAATATCAAGATAAAAATTAGTATAATTTATTTTTTCATACTTGCTATCTTTAATTTGAAAATCTTAAAACTAATGGTTTGATTTCTTGGTAACTCTAAAAAAAGCATAAAAATGTTAAAAGGCATATTATTTTCGACCATTTCTTCAGAAGTGCTGAGAAATTATATATGTGCCTTATGTTTGAGAGAATGCATGCATATATTGATTTTAATTCAAGTTAATTTTTCTTCATGTCAAGATTGCACCAACATTATCATTATCTCTCCATGTTTGTCTAGCCAGAAACTGCATATTTAATTCATTAAAAATTGTGTTTGACTGTATGCTTGAATTAAAATCTTTTTTTCCCACTTATCAGAACTGTTATCTAGTATCTGTGGTCATTATTACTTAGTTCAAGTATGTGTATGTTTTATGTTTAATTATTACTTTTGTTTTTATTAATGGTCAGCTGTACAATACATTGTGTAATAACTATGATAGTTTTTGTAATATGGAATGACTGTGCTATAATCATGACTGTTTTTTTAATATGGATGAGAAAAAACTAAATTTTTATAGTAAAGATATTTATTTATAAATACTTTTGTTTCACATTCAGCTAAACCTGAAAAATATTGTTTTTTAATTAAAGGCAAAAATCTCCTTTTTATGAATATTATAACAAAGCTTGAACTTGTAAGAAAACTGTTTTAATTTTCAAAATACAATGTTGTTTTTATTTTATTTTTTTTCGGGGGGGGTAAGTGTTCATTTTTCTTTAAATATTCTATTTCTTTAATTCTGAAGCCACATCCTTTTCTTTTTATAAACATCATTAAAATAGAGGTGCATCTTAGAATCATAGATTTTTCCAAATAACTAATTATTCTGAAGTAATACAAATTTTCAAAATATTAATTTATTTATTTTCTATGTAAATTATTGAAAGCCCAATTTTCCATAATTTTTATTATGTGTGTGTATATAGTATATAATATATATACACCATAAATACAGCAATTATTAAATAATTGTTGTATGTTTCTAAACCTTTCACTTCGTTTATTTTATTTGCTTAGAATCAAATTCATTCATTTTTTTTCTGATGTTGGTATTGAAATTAAGGGATGTATCTTAGAATTAATTGCAACATAAAACCGAAGAAATATGGTACCTCTTTTCTAAAAATTATTGAGTATAAATGCATAAAAGATGCTATCATTAATGGCCAGGCTACTTTTTGTTATTATTATTATTATTATTATTATTATTATTATTATTTGTGAGAGAATTAAATGCAGTTTTATTTACAGAAATTTCTTGTATTCTTGGGTTAACTTTTGTACAATTCTTTCAAATTAAAATTTTTTTTCAGATTATGAACATATTGTTTACAGACAATGTGCAGGTATCTTCATTGATAAAATAAGTTATTTGAATTGAATGCTGAATTTAAAAATGAACAGAAAATAGGTATTGAAGTGGTTCATTATGTTAGTTATGCATCCTGTGGTGCCATTTATTGACTTGGAAATTAATTCATACCAGCTGTCATCAAACTGATACTTTGTTAATCATGCTTCGGAAATGTAGTTGTAGGGCAGATGAGAATTTGGTATTGAGCGACTAGTATTTGAACCCTATTGTATTAGTAGATATGAACTGAACCCTTATGTACTGAAGAAAAGATCAGTAAATAAGTAGGTGTTTATGGACTGATGGACCTACACAAGGTTTTGAAGATATAAAAACAGTTTTCTAATGTCAGAAGTAGAATAATCTTGTAAAATGCTAATACTTTCATAATGTAGGACATTATAAAATGGTTGACAGCAAAATTTTATTTACAGTTAAATCATAATCAAAGTAGGGTCAATGATTTATTTCCTATTTTGACAGTTTTCTTCAGCAATCAGATGAAGAGATTTTTGCTGAAAAAGGATATTAATATTTCAATATCTTAAGAAATTAAAAAAGGCATTTCAGATAATATTCTGTGGCAGCAAAAACCAACTAGATTAAATAAATTTTTGAATAAAAATTCTTAGAAGTTGAAATTTAAATACTGTAGAAATCAAGAGATTTTCTTTAAATTTTTGTTTTTCAACTGTTTGCCTGTAATTATACATAATGGAATAATATTTTTAATTAGGTTATGTCTAATAGCTTGATCTTGGTGTATCATAAATAAAAAGAAATAATATTTAAAAGCCGAAATTTTATTTTAAAATTTATTTATCAGTAATAAGTAAAATAACTGTACATTATTTAAATGTTCTTTTATTAGATACCAGGTATCCAAAAAAGCTTGTGCCATAGTTTTCAATGAGAAATAGCAAAACAGTTTCATGCAAATGCATTTTATTCAGCAAAATAATCTTCTTCAGCTTCAGTTACATATTCCCAAGAAATTACAAGTTTATTAATACTGCATTTGGTAAAGTTCTTGTCCCTAGAGCCAAAAAATTGTCCTGTGGCCTGCATGACGTCATCTCAGTTTTGGAACTGTTGTTCCTCCAAATGGTTATCCATGGCCAAAACCAGATGATTGTCAGATAGAGCAGTATCCTGGGAACAAGGAGGATGAGGTAAAACTTCCCAACCAAATGTGTTGATCTCCTCCTTCATTGCTCTCGCAATATGAAGTCTGTCATTCTCTTGAAGAATGATCATGCCTTTTCTGTTTGCTAAATGATTGGCTACTTTCAGCATACTGCAGCTGCAACCCTTTGCAACTATGACAAGCACACCTCAGCTGTGACGGTTTTGCATTTTTTTTCTTTCATACCAGCTCTATTTGTTATTAGTTTTGCATACCAGCACTAGTGTACCAAACAAAAAGCAATACCTTCTGTTGATTAACGTTGCAAAGGGTTTGGTTACTGGCAAATGCCACTAAACTAAGGGATGACCAATAATGTTTTCTTTTTCAGTTACTATATAAGACCCTCTCACATATCAATATGTGGCTCAAGAATAGGGCTCTTTCATGGCATGACAGCAGTGAGGAGCAAAATTGAGCCGATGGAGTTTGGGTTTCTGTGGTCCAAATGTGAGGAGTACTACTTACAGAGCTTCTAAAAAATATCTTACCAAGGTTGTGCAGATGCAATCTAATGATTTCTTTTGACCCTCCAAACCCCTGGACAAGTTTCTTACACATTTGATGGAGATTATTCTGAATGTCTTCCTTCAGTGCCTCGTCAATATTGGATGACTATTATCTTGAGGCTCTTATCTCCCGATGCACATCAGCTGAACTGCTGTATATAGTGCGATCACTCGCTGATGGCTCTCCAAATACTTCTCTAATGTGTTTGGACAGGTTCTGCAGCACTGCTGCCTCACGTCAAGATTGTGGTTCCTTCAGAACAGTTTTTGACATGACCAGTATGCCTCAAAACTCTGCACTGATACACAGTTGACTGGAATATCAACATTTGAAGTCATCCTGACAGGGTGTCCAACACCTTCGATTTGAATTTCACTTTTTGTTCCATCAACACAATCTTTTCTGAATACCTGATACATTTTCAAAGTTGATCATATATTTTTTGATAAAATTTAGTGCAATATTTTATGTTTCTTTCTTTTTTTAGATTAACCATGAATCGGAAGAAGCTCGGAAAAGTAGCCAATGGAATAATTTGACTCATCGTATTGATTTTTGGCACCATATTTTAGACACACTTAATCAAAATGCTATTCCTTTAGAAGCAACTATTGAATTTTTAGATGTAATTCAATTTAATAATATTTTTAAATCATTATTAAAAAAATATTTTTAAAATATAATATTAAATATATATATATTTTATTTGTACAAATGTTTTTAAATCATTATGTTTTCTACTGCTTTTTATTGTATTTTTATTTTATTTTATTTATCTATTTTTCTTATTTAGAATCAGTGTGAAGTTTCTGATATATACGGAGAAAAATATTTCTTGATATATTCCATGGTTAACATTCTAAGTGATGCAAATAAACATAGTAGTTTGCCTGATGCTACAGTATTTGATTTGGAAGGCTTAAAAAGAAAAATGTGGTGGTTGTGTCTTAAAGCTGAAGTAAATAAACAGGTAATATTTTTGAAATTTTTTACAATTTTCCTTCTTTCACATTTTAAATTTAATATGTTTTAGTTCTTATGATCCCTTTAACAGTAGCATCTGATTTTATAAAACATAATTTTTTCTGATAGCAAGCACTATTTTAAATTTTTTAACATTAATAGTAATGAAGTGTCAGCAAATAAGCAATTTTGAAGTGATTAATTTGATTTAATAATAGAATATATTGTATAGCATTCCATAGTTAATGAATTTTTTCTCCTTCCCTTTCATATAATACTTTACATCTTTTAAATGCAAGTATATAAACTGGATACTTTATTAAAGTTTTCATTTGTCAACTTATGACTGATTATCCCTCCACATTTTTATCCAGTAGTCCTTAATTTTCATAAAAATGACTTCAATAATCTTTTGGCTAATTCATTTTCGATTTTATTTTTTGTTCCCTTTTTTGAGAAGAAATCTGATTTGCTAATAGGCTACCAAAAAATTCTCCATTACTTGCAGTATATTCAAAGGATAAGGTGATAAATCTTTTCAGAGATAAACTTTATTTCACTGGCAGATATATGGATAACAATAGTAAGGCATTAATAAACATTTGTTTCTATGTGATCATTATGCTTGTTCTAATATTTGTTTCAACTGTACACCAAAGAATAAACAAAACCAGCATCAAGCCCCTGAAGCCATGTCATGACGGTTTGCTGAATATCCATTTCAAATATGAATCATCTACTATCCAAGGGCTTTTCTAAGGTCTAAAGAGATAACTGGGTTCTAACCTGGGTTATAGGGAGGATAATCCAGTATCTCCATGCAGATGCACTGTAACAAGTCATATTTAATGGTGACTGTGTGCCACCAGGTGTTGTCATGTAACAGCATGGCATCTAATGAGAAAAATCCCAGTAATTTTTTTTTTCAAACTTGCCTTGCCAATATGTCACAGTGATTGACAGCATTCACTATTGTCAACTTCACTAGAAAATTCAGACCATTTTCTGTCACTAACTTGGTGAGGCAATCAACCAGCAATGTGAAATACTAATCCAGAGAAGCTGTCTCATAACTTTCTTCGTGGATTTCTTCATGACATGCATGATTGCTTCTTCTCTTGTGTCATCATGCGGCCATGTTTTATTCCCTACCTGTTCCCTGTTTCATGATGTAAAAACAAAACGCCATCCTCATTAAATCACAGAGAGAGTCCTATCTTCATAGTTTTGTGATTATCTGGTAAATTGCTAAGGCATCCAATATGAGCATGTCTTCTGGTAGCCTAATTACTTCTGAATGGTACTGTGCTCACTGCCCTGTCATATATCAGTAAGTGACATTTGCCTTAAAAAGGCAAGCATTTTTCATCTGTGATAAATTCCTCATATGCATAGAATACCAGGTTATTTAAACTGCATATCTATCCACCCTTTACTGAACACAATAAAAAAAAAAAAAAAAAAAAAAAAAAAACTTGTTTACATGATGTGAAACTAGCATTATACATTAAAACAAACTAATGATGAATTTTTGCTGGTGAGATTCTCTTTAGATAAAAAAAATCTTATCACACTTTGCAGTTCAGCATTCAACCCTGTTTTTATTAGCACAGCTAACTTATAATTCACATTTCACAATGCTGGCACAACATCTGTATCATCTATTAGCGATGTTTAATTGCTGTGGTCATTTGCTGCTTTTTAGGCAGTAAACTGGATAACAGGAGAATTAATGCACTCATGAGAGAGTTCTTTTTGTGTTAAATTTTCAATTACCATTATATATACATACATATATTTAATAAATATTGATTGCACCTATTGTGCTGAATGCTTTCCACAGAATGTGCTTCTGAAGAAATATTTATGTTCGTAAATAAAATATGTTTCATTATGAAGTTAGTCATGCTTTTTTCAAAAATTCCAGTCATCTATGTAACATCTTCGAGTTATCCTCTACTCACTTCTAATTTGTGTGTGAGCTGCATCTCTCTATGGCATGAAAGTGAATTGGTTTCATCTTCTGCCACCAAATGATTACATAAGTATATATATGTGTAGCATGTAACGCACATACACACACATATGTAGATATATATATATATATATATATGAGACAAGAGATAGGCATGTTTTTATAACTTAATTATTAAAAATATTTCACAATTCATATTTTTGTGTTAGAGAGCTAAAACAGGCAGGGAAAAGTGTCAATTCAATGAGACTCTTTATTCTACTATTCCGTTGACTCATTGATTAAATACTATGCTTCTAAGTCTCTGAATTAATCAGAATGAAACTTGTTTTAGCTATCTAGTTAATCGACCAGGTATGGAGCTTCAAAACACTTTTCCCTTGATAAGTTCTGTTGTGCAGCTCCAAACAAGGGAGATTAACCCATGCATTTATGCTTTCTTAATTTTTACTTTACACACATTAGGATTGCTATTTGTTTTAGTATATTTGTTTTTTACCTTGCAGTTATAATGTATTACAAAAACTTGGTGGAATTCATGTCTTCTTATTGATTAGTTGGATACTCACCTTGACTTTAATATATACAGTACAAAGTCTGTAATCCGGACTCCTTAGGACTTTGGCAATTCCAGATTAGGGGATTTTCCGGATTATAGATCATAAATTTAAATCTGGTAAGATGGCATGCAGAAATTATACAATTAAAAATATGAAACCGTAATTTATGAAATAAAGAGCAATTATGATTTAAAGGGTATCAAAATTTACAAAAACAAAGCTTAATATTTATTTGTTTACTTAAAACATTTCTTTCAATGTAAGTTGTTTAAGTTTCATTTTTTTGTGCTAATACTTTCTCTTTAATTCTATAAACAGACATAATTTCTTGTTCAGTTACAAAGTTCCACTGTTCAAGTCCTGTAATTGCTGTGTTGAGAATACCGACTAACTTGTCAAACGAAATTTTTTCATTTTCAATAACGTTCAATTTCATTTTTTTTCTATCACTTTCTTCACTGTCGGAAGCGCACATGGGTAAACGCTTTACAGACTTTAGGCACATGCGTAGTGGAAGCGTGCATCAAATGCACATGCGTATACGTATCATGCCCATGCATAAGTGTGTGGCTTTGAGGTCAGGATTATGGATCATTCCAGATAATGGACATCCAGATTACGGACTTTGTACTTTATGTATATATATATATATATATGCATGTGTGTATGTGTATATTTATATATATGTGTATGTGTGTGTATAGATATATATATATCTATACACACACATATATTATATAAACAATATTTTATAGATATATGTCAGGGTGTCTCAAAAATGTAGTGACAAACTTTAAGGGGAGATGGGGCACATCATAAGGATTGGAAATTGCAGTCCATGACCAGAAACATCAGATGTAAGTGGTAACAGAGGTAGAAGATCAGGAAGGACACAAGAGAGGGATTAATTTGAAATGTTTGGGGATGTAACAAGTACAAATGATGTATGAGATGAATACAGCTCTAATATTACAACAGATGCTGAAGTTTGCACCATCAAACACCAAGCATATCTGACGCCAACCAAACATTGATTGTAAGACATGATCAAACATATTAGAAGTTTCTTTTATTGTAGCAGCAGTGCATATGAATCTTGCCATGAGATCCATTTCAGATTCCACAGAATCATGATACATGATTTCTTTGAGAACTCCACATGAAAATAAATTAAGCTTGATAAATCAGGTGAGCTTGGGGGCCACGGAACTAGTCCACCACACCTAATTCATTCATGTGGTAAAATGAGCAGGCATTGTGTCATGTTCGAACATATTGCAACTTGCATTTGTTTGAATATTGTCAAGTAAGCCGGAAAGAACCTGCTCCAGAAAGATCCAATAATTCGCTGTGTTCATGTAAGATGTTAAAAGGTATGGCCTGACTTAGCAGGTCACCAACCAAACCTAACCACACATTTACTGTGAAGGGATGTTGGGCCACATACCATAGGATTTCTTTTGAGCACATAAATGTGTATTATGCTAACTAAATATGCCTGAATGTATTGAATGTGGCTTGATCAATGAACAATGCATAAGCTGAGAAATTTACATCTAAGACACTTTGTTACATATACCACTGTGTGAAATGATCAAATGCTGGATGATCATCAGGGAGGAATTACCGAACCCTTTGGAGATGAAAGACATGTAAGGACTCGGCATTCAAAACACGTTTAAGGCTGAGGCAATGGCAATGCTGGTACTGGGATTAGTCTCAATGGCATCCAACACAATTTCTTCTATAATGACTAAACGCTTCAGTCTTGGCCTGTTCTCACTAGTTCTGCTACTTCATAATGGCGTGTACTGCACACGTTTTGATGCACATGTGCAAACACACTGTGATGTGGTTGATGTCTATCTGGGAAGTGTTCTTAATAAATTCATTCAATGGCTAGTCCATTGTCTTCAGTTATTCTATATCTTAAGTGCCTATCTGCAAGCTTACTGTTCATATGTCGCTGCATTCTCTTCGTATGCTGGTTACTGCTGGAATGAGGAAATCCTCACTTTTCCCTGCAGTGCTCTCATGCAAAGCATTACCTAGTAGTGAATGATGTTTCCTGTTATGGGTGTCTCTGCTATTCTTAATCATTATGGTGTGCCCTATATCCATAAAAATATGTCATACATTTTTGAGACACCCTGTATATGCATACATGCACACATAAATACTTTATTTTTTTTTTTTTTTTTTTTTTTTTTTTTGCTTAGTATATTTTTCTTCTTTTTTTTACACGATGGTGGCCAAACGGATGGTTGGGTTTCTATAAAAAGATCTTTTAAATCCATATCCCAATCTCAAGCCAAGCTGGGAGCTTAGAAATTGTGTTATAATTACATTTTTTTCCTGTTTATATGTTATTGTGTGATTTTTTTTTTTCCTCTGAGCTTTTTATTTTTTTGGGGGGGAGGAGGGACCCATGATTTTACAATTTATCAAATTTTGTCATAAATAAATAAATATATTCATTTATTTATTATTTAGTTTTTTATTTTATAATTTTCTTCTGTACAGGGTTATGAATGAATAAACTATATTCTTAGAGCAAGAATTTAAAACATCTCTTAAGTTTTCTTAAGATTCATATTTCCTAAATAAATTATTCAACTGTGTATTTTTTTCAGCTGTTGCCAGAAATATTTGATGTGAAGCCAGTTCATGAATTTGATGCTCTTGATCTGTCATTTGACACAAAAAGCATGTTTAATGTTCATAGCATTGAAAATGAAGAGGTAACTTTTCCAAATTTCTTTTTATTGAAGTGTATAAGGCAGGCAAAAAGTTAAAATTAAAAGACGTTATAATTAAAGTTATAATTTTGAGACGAATATATATATATATATATATGCCTTTATCCATTTTTTGCAGCCATTCCAATTTTTGTTTAATGGACATCGAAACATGGTTTCGCTTTGTAGATCCTTTGGCAACTCCAGAATTGGAAACTCTTTTCGACAGAATTGAAAGTTCTAAGCCTGAATTGTATTACTTTAGTTATTTACTATACCTACGTTTATTTCTTGCACATGCTTCAAACTAATCTGAGTTCTGAATAAATAAACTCCCACATATACTTAAGGCTTTATCTAGGGCAGGTGCTCCATACCACCTGGTGCAAAATCAACATATTCTGCCGCTGCTTCTGAGTTTATGGTGAAGAACATATCAGTTATTCTTAATTAAAATAGCACTAAATGTAATCTTTTGGCCTATGAGTTTCATTAACAAAATCTGTTTTTAGCATATGAAAGAAATTTTTGTTGAATTTTTCCTCGTCAACATTGACTAGAGCATTTAAAAATCTATAATCATTGCCAAGCATAATGTTAGCATAAAAGTTGCCATACTTTTGTTATTCAATTACTTATATAAAAAAATTTAGACATCACAGCATGAGTTATTACTGAAGCTGTCATGTATTGATAAACATACGGTGATGAAAGCAAAATATAATAAATAATGACTCACCTGGTTGGCATCAGAAATATAAAATAGGTGAATGTTTCAGTTTGAGATGTATGCCAAGTAGATACTCAGCTGCTGAGCCAAATTATTAATCTCACAAATTTATGATTACATTATTGTTTTTCGATAACGAGGTATTTTATTTAGTGCCTAAGTGAAATTAAGAATCGGTATTTTTAAGTGAAAATCTCCACATGTTTTATTATGGAAGGAAAAATAAAATGTGCATGTGCATTAATAAAAAAATGTTTGTGGTTTTGAGGTCCGGATTTTAGATTATTTTGATATGGACATCCGGATTTCGGACTCGAAGTGTATTACCGTTCTCTTAATGATTTTTCTTTGAAATGTCACAATCTGATGTTTCTGTTCATTTTAATATAATTCTGTAATTTTAAAATTTCATGGTACATCAGCTTAAAATGTATAAAGCACAGACAAAAGTTTTCTGTTGCGCAGTACTCGAAAGAATAAGTGTGAAATGGAAGAACCATTTAAATCTAACTGGGCTACTGCACTTACCCCTACATCACTGATAGATATGCCCACTTCCACCCCAAACCGGATGTTTACATAAATCTGGAATATGTGGTCGGACAGTATATCTGTATACATTTATTTTCAGCAATAGGTTTTTATATATATGTCATAATAAAAGCACAAGGAAAAGCCGGAGCAGTGTCGATGTGTGATTAGACCCATATTGAAGAGGAAGTAATCTGATTGCGTCGTAAGCTAATGTGTTGACTTCGTAAATAAAACTTGGCACTAGAAGCGATTTTAATTCCATTTTTATTTCCAATTGACATATGTGGCCACAGATCACTTTGCACTCTAGTCGTGCCTTTCCACAAAAGATTTACATTTTTGATATTGTTGAGAAGGAAAGCAAGCCAGCGAAATTACATCTTAGCAGAGTAGAGGGCAAAAGCTGAAGTGCGTAGTTATGATAGATGGAAGCACGCAAAGAGAAAAGTTTTGGTTTACAATTCGGTGATTGGTCGTCATGAGGCATCTGGTATTAACGGTTACGTAAGATCGCATGATTAATTTGAATGACGCAATGCAGAGAAGTTATTACGATTTTAGAATAGAGAGGAAGAATTAATGTTTATAGATATATTATAATTCTGATTCATACATTTTTATCTTACATATTCCCCCCTTCAAAAAGAAAAAGGCGTAGCGACAGAGAAGCCTTTTTAAAGAGAAAGAGTTAAAGCACTAGCAAATGTTAAAAAAAAATAAAAATAAATAAATCATAAAATTTTTGTCCTGTAAAGTATAATTTATAAATATAAATTTTTTTTAAATAAATTTTTAATTTTTTGATTCCTATTGAATTTTTCAGCATTTCAGTCCAAAAGTCTTTTTGTTTGAGAATTCACATAATCATAATTCTTCAGGGAAGGTTCTTGTTATTACAGAATATCACAAAAACTTTTACATAATCATTACTTATAATTAAATGTAATGCACATAAATATTTACGATACATATTTCCATACTGATAAATTGTAATTTAACATCATAAATAATAGGATTAAGATTTTCAGAATTTATGGTTTCGCGTTATCATCTTTCATTTACAATTCCTGATTTTACCAAACTGGAAGCCTCACAATACTTCTGAACAAACATATCCATCAATAGGGCTGTCCTCTTGAGCTAACCAGTGTGTTCTCTGCACTGGTGGCCCAGGGTGCCTAGGCAGTTACTTGAAAAGGCCTCCGTTCCTTGCATTAAGGTAACTGGCCTTTGAGAACTGCACTAATACATTCCATAATAAAAAATATAATAATAATAATATATAAAAAATTACACACACTCATAAAATGAGAGCCTCCAACATTATCTTACTTGAAGAGGGTGAAGGGAACAACTGTACAGAGGTAATTACAGGCCTCTGCTTAGGAACCCAGTACTCCCTCGACATACACTATACTTAACATACAATAACCCATAAATTTAACATGCATTTACCATAATTTCATATTACTTATCTGTAATAATTTCACTTATTTTTTACACCAACTTCATTTCTAGAATAATTATAAAATTCGTATAACAAAATTTCAAAAACATAAAAACTTATCTTACTATCCTTCCCTATGAATAATTTAAATAGCTTAAAATTTGTTACTTAATTTACTCACACATAATTATGAAAAATTAGAATAATTAATGAACAAGAATTTCAGATTTTCTCAAAACAAATTGCAGAAATTTTAACCAAAGTTGAAATGACAATTATAGAATCCGCAGCACATTAAATAATTTAGTTCCTGAGCTAGATTCGCACGAGTGTAATAATTTTTGAGCTGTTGAAAAAGCGGAAGTGCAAATAATTTTCTGTCGCACATACTTGCAAACACTAACTCAGATTGACCTTGAACCCGTTGTAATGCTTAATTCCTAAACGGTAATTCACTGATGATTTAAAGCACTTTTTTTCTAAATATTGTAGAGATCGGCGAAGCAAATTCAATATTTCTTTTCACTAGGCATTCGAACTTTTCAATTTATTGAGAGATTACTTTCAATCTGTAAACACTACGCGTGATTATTTTTTTGAAGCACTTGCAAAACACCACAGCAGAAGAATGATCTGTTATTTTTAAACACTGAAAAAACAAATTGATGATTCACTTCTTTCACATTATCTTGGATTTATCACAAAACGATGATTTGAAGAGCTGAACTAAATTTTCCATTGAGGTTTCAGGCTGCAGGAAACTATCCTACCAGCTTAATTGTCATAATAAAAGCACAAGGAAAAGCCGGAGCAGTGTTGATGTGTGATTAGACCCATATTGAAGAGGAAGTAATCTGATTGCATCGTAAGCTAATGTGTTGACTTCGTAAATAAAACTTGGCAGTAGAAGCGATTTTAATTCCATTTTTATTTACAATTGACATATGTGGCCACAAATATCAGTTGCAAATAAAAATGGAATTAAAACTGCCTCGACTGCCAAGTTCTTTAAATATTACCAAGTTAGCATTTTACGCAATCAAAATCTTCTTCAATATGGGTCTAATCACTCATTCTACAGTGTTCCGTCTTTTCCTTTGCTTTTAATATGACATATATATATATATATAATTTAGGGAAAATAACAAAGAATGCTGAAATAATTTCACTAATAACACAGTTAATATTAAAAAAAATGTGTAGCATTTTTCCCCTTTAATAAAGCAATACTATCAATATTTTTGAAAAATCCCCACCCTTTAAAAAAAAAAAATGCCTGAAAGGGCTATTGATCTCAAAACAATTTTGCATTGTTTTAGTTCAATGCATTGTTTCACTTTTCATTCGCGTCTGTTGCCAGGAAAATATTGAACTTTGAAATTAAATTTGCCTGTTGTGGATTAACAAACTAAGCTGTTTAAAAGCAACAGATGCAGTTCTTAACAATATTTTTTTAACTTTTTAATCTGATTGATTTAAATAAAAGTGTGTTTAATCCAGAATATATATCTAATTAAAAACATTAAATATTTGCATAGAATCTAATATTTTTTCACTTTTTAGACATGCAGAAAATATACAGCATTCCCATGTATATTCATCTATTACATCGTTTCCCAACTTTTTTTACTGCGGCCCGACACGAAGTTTTAAAATTTTCACGACCTACCTTATTAAAAAATCATTTATTTACAAAAAAAAAAAAATATTTTTTAACAAAAATCAAGTTATTTGTTTGTTTTTTTCGTACACAAAAATTGCAAAATAATTATATAAGAAAAGTAATTAAAAAATTAACAATTATATTCATTTAAAACTTTAATAAATGAAGTAAACTTTGTTTCCACATATTTTATCCTTAGTGCGAAGGATGATGGTGTGTGTCATCACACAACAATTTCAAACTAGGAGGTAATGATGTTAATTTTATTCTCAAATTAGGTTCAAAGTCCAATCTGTTTCGATACTTATTTTTTAAGTATACCAAGGCTAAAAATGCAACTTCACATGTATAAGTGATGAGCACTAAAGGCGCTAAAAATTGTATCACTTTTTTGCTTATGCTTGGATACTCCTTTCGACAGTACAACCAAAAATTAATTAGTGGTACAGTTTCAAACACTTTTTTCAGATCGGTGTTGCATGACATTTTAATTAAATTATCTTCTTGTTCGCTAAGATCAATCATTTCTTCCTTTTCAGTTTTGACAGAAAAAGGATCTTTAATCCACATATTGTTTAAAGAAATATCCAGAAAGTAATCTTTAAAATTATTTATTAGTTCTGGAAAGATGTTCTTGAATTGAAACTGATAGTGTTTCTAGATGTAAATCTCCTTCATCATAGCTTGCATGGGTTTCAGTAAATTTATGTAATGTTTCAAAAGATTTAAAATTTATTTTTGAAAGTCGTTGCTTTCACAGACTCATTTTTTTAAATTATTGCAGTGATTTTTTCCGATACTCTGAAAATATTTAAACCAAAGCCTGGCAAATTTAAATTAAATTCATTGAATGTAGCAAATATGTCATACAAATAAGCTACTTTTATTAGCCACTCAAAATCGTGTAATCTATCCTTAAATGGAAAAATAGCATCTTTTTTAGATGGTGAATGTTCATTTACAACAAAGCTTCATCTTTTAGCTCAAACAGAAGTTTTCAAATGTTTCCTTTCAAAAGAGGCTTTGTCCCTGAGGGACTATTATTTTCGTTTTGCAATTTTGTGTCGAATCACTCTGAATGTCTGTTTCACTTTTCAAACTGTTGCCATCAAATATTATCATCCTGTATTATATTTGAAGAAATTAAATAATGAAGAATCTGCATAAATGTATGTATGTTTCTCGCATTGTGATGAAACAATGGTACCTAGAGCCATCAAATTGTGCACGACGTAATCCTACTGCGAATATGGGCATCTGGAAGCCCAAATTTGAATTTTTTTTAATCGATTTCATATTTTGTAAAACCTTAACGTTCTTATTTAACCTTGATTAACAAACTCAAGGATTTCAAAGTGAGCAATGGCAACACTGTACAGAAAAATCATTTTTATCTTCAGCTTGTGAGACTGTGTATTGAAAATTCTAAAGATATGCTCAATTTAAAATTATTTTGCGATATTGCTCTTGAACTGGATTTTATGGTTTAAGTGTGAAGAACATATTTAGTAAATAAAGGTAACACACAAAATGTTAAACACCCCTTCACCCCCTTGGACGTAATTTAGTGTGTCTAAATGTCGTTTCAACATTGACGGTTTTGTACTTTCTTTTAAAAGTGGCTCATTGCAAGTAACACATAGAGGCAAATTATTTTGACTGCTGTCGGCAATGAACCCAAACTGTAAATATTTGTCATAATATATGCAAGTCCAATTAGCCTTACGCTTGTTGTTTTGGAGCTGTATATCTGCATTCAAAACATTAGCAAAATCAGGTATTTAAAAATGTATTCTTTTATAATCTGTTATCTTAAAATTAGTGGGTTGATTTTTTTTTTTTTTTTTTTTTTTTTTTTTTTTTCCCCAACAGATTTAAAATTCTTATTTCTTTACTATTGAATATTTTCTTTTTTCATATAAACAGTAGAACAACTTAGAAGAGAAGAAGACTTGTTGAACCCTGCCTTTTGGATTCAATTTATGACAGAAAATTAAATGAGAATAGTGTTTCATTTAATATTGTCTGTCACTAAATGTAAACATTTTAAATGTTGTTGCAGTCACTGTAAATGTAACTGATTTACAGTTTTTGAGGCTAATTAACTATGGATGTAACAGGACATACCCGAGGTTTACGAAATATGAATGCAATTAGACTTGAACTGTACATTTTATGGTATAAGCATCTTTATTTTAAAAAAGAGCTGATAACTGATATATGGTACATTTTATTATTGGAGATCATTTTTTAAGCTCCTGATTGTACTGTAATGGATATTTGTTGTTAGACCTACTGAAATGAATTCTCAGTTAATGTATAAAAGTGTGTGTTTTTGTGTTAAATTCATATATATTTTTAAAAGAATTAATAAGTTCTCCTGTATATTTAGGAAAGAATTGCTATTCAGTCTATCATAGGTCAGTTTCTTCGGAAAAAAGATGTGCAGAATGCATTTCAACTAGCAAAATCATTCAATTATGAGTGTCAGGATTTAAAAATTGTAAAAGTAAGTTATTTATTTATCATTTCTTCAGTTGATTTAGTTACGCAATTAATTTTTTTCATGCATATGGATAAATATTAAGAAGAAATAATATACAAGGCCTGCTAATCAATCCTACGATTAACTGGCAGACCTTATAAATTCATAAAAAAATAAATAAATGGTATACTTTATCTATAGGAAAAAGTACATAGCTTTAGCTTTTCATAAAGAGAAATAGTTATTAAGGAATAATGCAGAACCTTCGGAATATACTGCCCTTAAAGTGCTTTCTCTTTCACTCTTAAAGCTTATTGTGAATATCATTCATATGTTCAGCAACAAGTTTCTTTGGAACTTTTGTAACCTCCTTCTGAATTTAGAGCTTCAGATCTGAAAAAGTGTGATGCTATGTGTGATAGATATCACTGGAGTAAAAAATTCTAAAGGATAAGTCAGGGTACATCGATGGCTAGGAGATATTTCCATAACTGGAACTGGAGATGCCCAGGAAACAATACTCAAGAATCCAGATATCCTGAGTACAGCTGATGCGGTATTTCCATCAATACATGACATATGGCTTGGAATGGCTAGTTAAACCAAAGTAGTGGTTATTGTTTATAGAATTACTTACAAATTAAGGAACAAAGAAACTATTAAATAGAAATTTTGTATAATGCTGTGAATTCATTGCACAAGCATTTGCATTTCCATATTTGCCTTTGCCAAAAAAAAAAAAAAAAAAAAAAAAAAAAAAGCTTGTTCATTTTAAAGGTTCTGTGCAGTATATTGCTACTCTTGAACCAGTGAACTGGATTTTCTTGATCAAGTTAATATAAGCAGTTCCATTTCATTTATAAATCCTGATAAATAATTATTTGCTATGTCCATTGCTTTTGACTGAAAAGCAATTAATTTCTCTTCTTGCGTTCTAGAATTAGCTGAATTTTATAAGGATAAAGGTATACTGATGTAAAATCCGCCTGACACTGACTGCACATCTGAGTGACCTGAAATGCTAAATAGCGAACCTTAGAGAACTGTATTCAATAATTTTTTTAATGGCATTTAGCCACTTTTTGCACTATTGCTCTTGTTCATCAATCATAGTTTCTAATCCATGCTTTAATCACTTTAACAAAAAGCACTGTCCTATTTAGGTATTTCTTTCAAAATTCTTATTGGGCAATCACAAAAGTGTTTCTGTAAAGTGCTTTTATGGTAAAAACATTTGCACATTTGTCCATAACTCAATTGTAAATAAAACCTTTACAGGGAAATATTGGATATTGCTTTTAATTTTCCTCCCTTTCAATTGAAATAGTGTAAAAACATTGTTAAATCACTTTATTCATAGGCAAACCTATTGCACATTTAAATGTGGTTCGAATTAACCTACTTGGTATTTAAATTAACCTACTTGCTTATGAATATGAATCCTTTGTTTTAAAAGACCTTGCTTGTTCATTTCATACAGTCTTATGTCTTAAAATAGCAGCAGAAATTCGCCCGAGCTGAACAGTAATCATAATGAATTTGAAATTACAATTGACAGGTTTTTCAAGTTCAAAGACGGTATTTACTTTTAACAAAAACAAATAATTAAATACATATCCATAAATTAAATAAATAAATTATCCGTAAATTAAATAATTAAGTACATTATCCATAAATGTTTTATTTTGTTCACTTTCACTGTCTTTATTTTTCAAACTAAGTTTACAAAAAACCTATAGCCAAATATTAGTGCATTTAGTTATTTATTTTAAGTTAACTGAAATAACTGAACTGCATAACTTTTTTCAAAGAACTAACAGCTTGAAAAAAACAGTAATTTCATGAGTTAAATATACTTTTGGCTAATCTTCCAGTCTTTTGAATTAACTGTGAAAAGAGAATAGCAGTTGTAAAAAATCAGTTACTTAGTGATAAAAGTCTGTTTTAGTGTTTGAAACTTTTTGTATTCTGAGTTTATGTGTTTTAAAAGCAAGACAATTAATTTTGCTGTTATATATATGCATGTTAATAGATTTTTGAGTAGATTATATATAAATCACTCATAAAATCTTTTTTAATACAATAAGAAAAACAAAAATTATTTTGAGATCACAAGATTGTTGTGAAATGTATAAAATAATCTGGATAGGCAGTCAAAACAAAGGTAAAAGATTATGAAAAGTTAGCTAATCATTCTCTTACCATTGTAGAAGAAAGTCTGTGTTTCTAACACATTAATAATATCTTAGTAAATAAAATATTAGAAAATTAGTTAAAGTAAAAATTGTGGAACAAAAAACAAGCTGGTCATTCTGATCATCATAAAAAAACAGCAATTTTAAACTGACAAAAGAAAAACGCTTTTCATATACAATTTAGAACTTGAAAAAGTAATGGAAAATTTTTAAGAAAAAATAAGGTGCTTCAAAAATAATGGGTTGTACTGAAGTACAAACACTTTATTGCAACACATTATTTTTTCTGTGCCTTCCCCCCCCCTTCTAAAAAATGTTTTTCAATTAGCAGAAAACTAGAGATATTAAATTTAAAAGCAAAAATTGTGGTATGGATAGTTGGGAAATTATCATAAGAAAGATAAAGGGAGGGATTTAAATAAGTAAATAAAAAGACTCCATTTATATTATAAGGAAAAGAGAACAGCATTTGAAATATCTTCGCAGATGTCAGGTTAATTTATTTTATAACCTATTTAGATTTTCATAACTAAAATAATAATTATAAATTGTGGCATGAAAATAACTTTTATTTAGTTATTTTATTATTTATTTTATGGACTTTTTTCTTAGAGAGATGGAGAACAATAAATAGTTTTTCATAATTTTTATTTAAAAAAAAAATATTTCTAAAAATTTTCTGTTTAGATATGTCTTGAAATTGCAACAAGTGATATAGATCTGAATGCTATAGATATTTCATCACCTGACTGTGCACCTGAAGTTTCATCTTCTAGATTTATAAGATCCCTTTTACTTTGGATTAATAATGGCTATTCAGGTAAATTTTTTAAATACCTTTATTTTTTTTCTAAAAATTTGCAAATTCCAATTCCTTCCCCCCCACATAATAATCATTATAGGTTTTGTGGTTAAATTTATTATAAAAATACTTGCTTCATCTTTTATTGTATGTATTTGTTTTGTTACATATATTTGTTTGTTAGTGTAAATTTAATACCAGTTTATATACCTATATTTAAATGTGAATGCATAAAAACAATCTTCATAGTGCTCTTCTACAATGTCAACTTACATTACATAAAATGCAGATATAGTCTATTTTGCACAGCCCACCCAGAAGTGTAGATTTTATTTACAGTTGTTTTAATCAGAATTTCAGATGTAATTTCTATTTCTTTAATTAATATTTGGCAATTTAGTGCATCATATTTAGTGTAAACAATGGTAGCAAATAATTTTGAAAGATTTCTTTATTATTATTATTATTATTAGTGGTAGTAGTAGTAATAGTAGCAGTAGTATCATATTGAAGATTTCTATCTATTATTTTAATCGTTTATTTACCAATAACCAATATTTCAATATATTGTGCAATTTATCTGAAAAAAGTATTCACAGATAAAAAGTTTTTTTTTTGGTTATAGTTTCAGAAACTTTCTGTCTTAATTTTTTTATGGTAAGTTTTCTTTCAGCAATTTTGCTTTTATTACAGAAAACAAAAAAAAAAAAAAAAAAAAAAAAAATCACCTAAGATCATTATTATATTTTATTGTAATTGTTACTTCCCTTAAAATGTCCTGTGAAAAGGCATAGATCATAATTCATTTCTCTGTAACTGTCTGTAACAGCCAAGCCACTGCAGGCAGATATATATTCTCTTACTGTACAAAAGTTTTCTTTACGCAAGTATGGTTTATGTAAGACCAATAGTAATATCTGTTTTGGTTATCATTAACTGGAGAATCTAAAGAAAACTTTACCAAGAAAAGAGTATGAAAATCAAAAACATCATTTATTGTTTATGTCCTGATAATACTTTAAGCCTGTCATATTAGTCACAAACATTTTTAAAGTCTAGGATAAGAGAAAATGTTAGCTTTGTGATCTGACACCTACAAATGACAACCGTCTTTTTTACACTCTTAAATTCCTGTGTCCCCCACTGCCAAATCTCTGACAACTGTATTTAATGTTACACCATCACTGACACCAAAGTGTGCCTTCCTCTGAACATTCTGTCTTCCAGCTTTTTGAACGTTATCACAATGAATTTCATTTCTTTACTTCTGTTTATTTGACTTTTGTATTTGTCATCTCCTTTTTGCATTTAGTATTTTTTTAGGTTTCGTATGTTGGTTGATATGTATATATATGTAATGTTTTCAGTTATTCCAACACATCGTGGGCGAATGGTGAGGCTATTCCATTACACGTTCTGGCAGATGGTTGACGAAGCTATAATGATTGAAGCACGGAGAAAAATGACGACTCAGGACTTTTCACTTTTAGCAGCATATCTTTATTTTATTTTAGAGCAGTATTCAGTAATTGAATTATTAGATACGACTGTCTTTAATACGTTATAACATTCTAACAAAGAAAGAGGAGCATGGCGGAGGAGTTAGCAGAACGAAGGCGAGAAGGCATCTGTGTAGGAGAACTTATGACGCAGCATTTATATGAAAGGTTATGTAACAGAGTAGCTTCTAGAAAAATGTAGAAAAACTATCAATGATTATCAATGAAAAATAAAAAAAAATCATAAAATTTTTGTCCTGTAAAGTATAATTTATAAATATCAATTTTTTTTTTAATAAATTTTTAATTTTTAGAGTCCTATTGAATTTTTCAGCATTTCAGTCCAAAAGTCTTTTTGTTTTGAGAATTCACATAATCATAATTCTTCAGGGAAGGTAGAAAAACTATCAATGATTATTTTTATTTTATGATTATGATGCAGCATTTATATGAGGAGGTTATGTAATAGGCGCGAATGTTCTAGCAGGTACTGGGTTAGGGGACGATCCTGAATTGCAGAAAAGTAATTAAAGGTTGCTGGTTCGCAAAGAGCAAAGCCATCGTATTATTGTTATATTTTACATCTTTTAGCCGGTAGGATAGTTTCCTGCAGCCTGAAACCTCAATGGAAAATTTAATTCAGCTCTTCAAATCATCGTTTTGTGATAACTCCAAGATAATGTGAAAGAAGTGAATCATCAAGTTTGTTTTTTCAGTGTTTAAAAAATAACAGATCATTCTTCTGCTGTGGTGTTTTGCAAGTGCTTCAAAAAAATAATCTCGTGTAGTGTTTACAGATTGAAAGTAATCTCTCGATAAATTGAGAAGTTCGAATGCCTAGTGAAAAGGAATATTGAATTTGCTTCGCCGATCTCTACAATATTTAGAAAAAAAGTGCTTTAAATCATCAGTGAATTACCGCTTAGGAATTCAGCATTACAGCGGGTTCAAGGTCAATCTGAGATAGTGTTTGCAAGTATGTGTGACAGAAAATTATTTGCACTTCCGCTTTTTCAACACCTCAAAAATTATTACATTCGTGCGAATCTAGCTCAGGAACTAAATTATTTAATGTGCTGTGGATTCTATAATTGTCATTTCAACTTTGGTTAAAGTTCTGCAATTTGTTTTGAGAAAATCTGAAATTCTTGTTCATTAATTATTCTAATTTTTCATAATTATGTGTGAGTAAATTAAGTAACAAATTTTAAGCTATTTAAATTATTCATAGGGAAGGATAGTAAGATAAGTTTTTATGTTTTTGAAATTTTGTTGAGAATTTTGAATACGAATTTTATAATTATTCTAAAAATGAAGTTGGTGTAAAAAATAAGTGAAATTATTACAGATAAGTAATATGAAATTATGGTAAATGCATGTTAAAATTTATGGCTTATTGTGTGTTAAGTATAGTATGATGAGGGTGTACTGGTTCCTTCAACAGAGGCCTGTAATTGCCTCTGTACAGTTGTTCCTTTTACGCTCTTCATGCAAGATAATGTTGGAGGCTCTCATTTTATGAATGCATGTAAATTTTTTATATTATTATTATTATATTTTTTTATTGTGGAATGTATTAGTGCAGTTCTCAAAGGCCAGTTACCTTAATGCAAGGAACGGAGGCCTTTTCAAGTAACTGTCTAGGCACCCTGGGCCACCAGTGCAGAGAACACACTGGTTAGCTCAAGAGGACAGCCCTATTGATGGATATGTTTGTTTAGTATTGCGAGGCTCTCTAGTTTGGTAAAATAAGGAATTGTAGATGAAAGATGATAACGGTGAAACCATAATTTCTGAAACTGTTACACCTAATATATTTATGATGTTAAAATATAATTTATCAATATGAAAATTAATATCATAAATATTTATGTGCATTTAATTATAAGTAATGATTATGTAAAAGTTTATTTTGTGATATTCTGTAATAACAAGAACCTTCCCTGAAGAATTATGATTATGTGAATTCTCAAACAAAAAGACTTTTGGACTGAAATGCTGAAAAATTCAATAGGACTCTAAAAATTAAAAATTTATTTAAAAAAATTGATATTTATAAATTATACTTTACAGGACAAAAATTTTATGATTTATTTTTTTTTTTTTTCATTTGCTAGTGCTTTAACTCTTTCTCTTTAAAAAGGCTTTCTCATGTCACTAAGCCTTTTTCTGTTTGAAGGGGGGAATATGTAAGATAAAATATATGAATCAAAATTCTAGATTAAACTATAAACATTAATTCTTCCTCTTTATTCTAAATCGTAATAAAACTTCTCTGCATTGCGTCATTCAATTTATCATGCTCTTACATACCGTTAATATCAGATGCCTCTTGATGACCAATCCACGAATTGTAAACCGAAACTTTTCTCTTCGCGTGCTTCCATCCTTCATACTACGCACTCAGCTTTTTGCCCCCTCTACTCTGCTAAGATGTAATTTCGCTGGCTTGCTTTCTATCCCAACAATATCAAAATGTAAATCTTCTGTGGAAAGGCACGACTAGAGTGCCAAGTGATTGTGGCCACAAATATCAATATAAATAAAAATGGAATTAAAACTGCTTCGACTGCCAATTCTTTAGATATTACCAAGTTAGCATTACTAGCATACTACGCAATCAAATTCTTCTTCAGTATGGGTCTAATCACGCATCGACACTGCTCCGGGTTTTCCTTGCGCTTTATTAATATATATATATATATATATATATACGGAGGAGAATAGCATATCTCAAGTTCAAAAGTGAACTGAATAGCAGGATCAGTGAAATTCATTATTGAAGGAACTTTATTTAAATCATCTTTATTACTGTCAAATAGGTTAAATGTATCTTCTACGTAGTAGAACCATACCAGGAAGTTTAAAGTTTCAAATCATTTTGATTCATAATAATTCATGTAGATCAGCCTGGATGGGACTAAAGGGGCTTCCCATGGCTAATCCCTCAGTTTGCTTGTAATACTTATTTTGGAAAACAAAATGCGTTTGCTTTTGTTTTATAAATACAAGAGTTGAGTAAGGATTTGCGTGTAATACTTATTTTGGAAAACAATTTGCGCTTGTTTCAAACAGAGTTGAATAAGGGAAATTAACTTATCAATTTCGATGCAGGAGAAATGAAATTCACGAAGTCTGGTTTCTGGACATTTTAATGCACCCTCCACTGGAACACTGGTGAATAATGATTTCACATCAAAAGAAATCATGATTTAATTTCTAAGGGAAATACTTTTAACTTTTTTCAAACTCTATTTTCCAGTGGAGGGTGCATTAAGGTGTCTAGAAATCAGACTTTGTGAGTTTCATTTCTCCTGCATAGCTGCTGCTATGCTGTTTTAAGTATTCAGGAATGAACGGTTACAAATGTTAACGGAACTTACCATTATTCTATAAATGCTGGGATATGAAGTATAGCACTTTTATTGTGTATAAGTAATAAATAAAATCATGAAACTTTAACACATGAAAACTTTATTTCTTTTTTATAGGCATAACTACTGCACATAAAGACAAGATCAAACTTATGGAAAAATTGAGCAGAAAAAGCATTGTTTCTGTTGCAGTTTGTCATCAAATATTAGTTCATTACACAGTTTCTGCTGTAAGATATATTTTGTCCTTGTGTATTTCTCTATTTAAATTAAAACTTTTAATTTTTTTATAAAATGTTTTGTAAAATGTAGCTTTGAAAATGTTTTAATATTTTGTATTTAAATTTCCCAAGTTTCTTAAATTGCTGACATTACTATTAACTATTAATAGTTATTAATTAATATACTATTAATAGTTAGTTAATAGTAAATTGTTATGATTACAGTCAAAAGTCTTTAATCGGACCGGACTCGTCGGGACTTCGGCGATTCCGGATTATAGATCATCAGTTTTAAATCTGGTAAGATGGCATGCAGAAATTATAAAATTAAAAATATGAAACCGTAATTTATAAAATAATGAGCAATTATGATCTAAAGGGTATCAAAATTTACAAAAAAAAAAAAAAAGAGGCTTAATATTTGATTTGTTTACTTTATTCAACATTTCTTTCAACGCGCGCATGCGTATAGCATACATTATGCATAGTCGAAATTAGAAAATTGCAAACCAGAAAACTATTTGATTTTGTATTCGTGATATTTATAATGACGAGGAATTTGATTTAATCATATCAAAGACGGAGTACATCGAGATGAAACTACTACATTTAGTAAGGAATTATAAGCCGAATTAAAATAAAAACATCTGCCCTGAAGATAAGGATAGTGCTGACAGATCAACTTCCGGTTCATTTCGCGCCGCGACGTCCCCCCCCCACGCGCAGAGCAGCGTGAAATTGATAAACAGATTTCGGAATGGTTAGATAAACAAAGGATATACCTTTATCCATTTTTTGTAGCAATTCTTTTTTTGTTTGATGGACATCGAAACATACTTTCGTTTTCTACATCCTTTGGGAGCTCCAGCATCAGAAATTCTATTTGACATAATCGAAAGTTCAAGCTTACTTTTATAAAATTGATCTTACAGTCTGCAAAAAATAATAAGCCGGATCCAATTCGAAGATTAAGGAACAACGCAATCATTAACATTAACTGAAATAGATAATTAGATAATTTTAGCTTTACCGTCCATTATACATTAAACGCGCACGCGAAAACGTATTCTGCGCTTGCGCAGTCGTAAATGTCTTGCGCGCACGCGTAAAACACCTATGAGCATGCGTCAACGCAGCGCATGCGCAGAAAGATTTTAGCTTTGAGGTCCGGATTATGGGTGTCCAAATTAACGACTTTTGACTGTATTATTATTAAAAGTATATTAGAATTTATTCCTAAAAAATAACAGTAAAAATTTTCAAGTTTGTTGATTATCAGTTGCATATATCTAAATCTAAAAAGGAAGATTTGAGTTTTTGAACTAGTAACAAATCCCCTTCCCCAATATTCAGTTATATAGGAAGCAATTATATGTCAACAAAAACAGCAGTCCAGGCATGCTAATACATTTGAAATCTCGGCAGAAAAGAAATTCGACAGAAATTTTACTAAAATCTGTGGAAAGTTGGATAATTCCCATTCATTAAAATTTATGACCATTCAAAGTTTAGAGTGAAGCTTTAGTGCTTAACTTTTTTAACGGTGCACATGCTAATCATAATGTTTCATAGCTTTACAGGAAAATAATGGAGGAAGCAAGCATTTTAGTTCAATTTCAGTCTTCCATCATGATAAGCTTTTCTTTTCCTTTTTTAGGTTTTGATAGCAAAGTATTGGGTTATTGCTAAGGAAAAGAATCACTTCAAGATATTGAAGGATATACTAGTTAAAAAATTATATGATGAACATATACTGGCCAAATGTTTCATTATTGTTCATGACCTTGCCGATGTTGATGTTGCTAGGTTTTTAAGTGAAGAAATCTGGCACTCTCTGAAAATTTTGTGCCCACTAAATATAAGTAAGTTTTTGTAGTTTCCCAATAGATATTTCTTATTTATTCATGTGGTTAATGTACTTTCAGAGATTATATAATCTGACGTTTTCCCCTCCAAAAATTTAGCCTTATTACCAGAGAATAAAAGTGCATTTTCTGAGAATGTCATATATGATCCATTGCGGGTGAGTGAAGGTTTTCAATTAATAGTGAAATTATGTCAAGATCCTTCTGTATTAGGTAATCTCCTCATGGATATATTTTCCACATATGCTTGTGAACTCTCATCTAAAAGCTCAGATAAAGGTACTTATTATTTCATTTTTAGCTCACTTTTCAATAACCACTATCCTATATTGAATAAATAAATTTTTAAATTTGTTATTTTTTACATGTTAAAAATTTTGATTTCCTTTTGTGATAGGTGCTGGTATTTGGCAGGTAAATTTTCTTGGCAAATGCTTAACAAAGATACATATTATTTTCAGAAGCATTTATCTTCTTTGAACAATTTATCCAAAACATAACTATAGAAACAAGATTCTGTTTCTGAAAGAGTATTTTATCTGAAAGACTTATTATTGAACTAAAAATTGTATTCTTGCCAACTTTTTCAGTTACTGTTAATTCAGTAAAATTGCCATTCAAAACCATTTTACTGGTATTTTTTCTTTCCAAAAGATTTATTGAAAATATAAGGGTAAATTATGCAGAGAATGAACATTTTATTCCAAAATTTACTAGGCATACAAACAATGTGGGAAAATGTACTCTGCTCAGTATATGAAGGTATGTACACTGCTCAAAAAAAAAAAAAAAAAAAAAAGGACAGTGGAAAAATGGGACAATCTCCCGTTCTACTGGCCGATTGACAAAATTCAAACTGCGTTTTTCATGTCTCGAAAGCGCGACTTAGGATATATATTAGATTTATATATAGAACTATTCTAACATAGGTATTTTGACACAAAATCGGACTTTTCCTGAAATAACATACCAATTTTTTTTACATATTTCGATTCTACGACTCAAATTATGCCAGAATACCAAGTTTTGTAAAAATCGTACGAGTAGTTTTTAAAATATTAGCTCTCAAAATTTTAGCTCCTCAATGTTAATTGAATTTGGTAAATATTTATTAATATCTCTTTTTTTATTAAACTTTTTTGATTTTTTCCTCTCACATTTCGAAATTTAGGTTCATTCCAAATAAAATTTACCCATTTTTTTTTTGTGTTTTATTTTTTAAAATTTCTATTTTTAAATAATTTTTATAAATTTTTCGAAAAAAATTTTGAATTATAACCTATAAAATTTTTACCATCATCTTAAAGTAGGTGTATTTTTAAGCATATCTGCAAAAAATTAGACTTTTTTATTCAAAATTTTCTAAGATATACACGAATTTACATATTTTCACATTTTGAAATTTGGCATCTTTTTTTTAGCGATAATAACGCCAAATGTGGTCTATGGAATTTTGTTACAGTGAATTGCCACAGCTATTTTTAATCTTAAATTTCAAGTAAAATTTTATGGAGAATTAATTATATGACATTTTTCCTTCAATGATGCATAATAAATGTTTATTAATACTATATGAAAAGCTTTTTTTTTTAAATTATAGATGATATTATTCAAATTTTGAACTATTTCTTTAATTTCTCACTATCTTTTTTTTAAAAAAAAATAAGAGTAAATTTTTACCTTCAGCATTTTATCCTCTGCTACTTTACTTTGTTTAAATCGAATTGTCTAAAACTGAGAATTTTCGTTTGATGTTTATTTGAATTTTATGACATTAACTGCATAATTTATTTCTAAACAAACTGTTGCTCTTGAAGTGGCTGAAAGAGCGGCTAATACTATCATCCATATTTTTAAAGCACAGTATATTTTTATAGAAATATAAGATTTAGAATAATCATTTTTATAAAAGTCAAATTATGATATAAACATACAACCCTCTAGAGACTGAATTAATGGAAGTTCAATGGTTATGTAGAAATGATCTGCAGCTACTTAATGGCTGGATAAGTCCGCAGATTCTGTGGACAAGTAAGAATAATTATATAAACGACACCCAACATTCTGGATTCAATTAACAAACGAGGATACGATGTTTATTAAATGAATTTAAGAAGTTTTAAAACATAAAAAATCAACTCATTTTTTATCCTAAAATGTATTTTTGTGCGTAGCGTATTTTCATTATATCCTTAAAATTCTAATTTGGAATGTAATTGTCAGGAACTGAAACCTAATCATCAGTAATATAATAAGTAATTATTATGGTTATTAATAAATCTTTCTTATAAAGTAATTGCAAATATTTCAAAAACTTTCTGTCTGAATGCAAATATTTTTCTGTGCAAATATTTTTAATTTTATATTAATCAAGATTGCACACGATATTATTTATTTGCACTTCAATTCTTACTGTCAGTTCTAGTAGAAGTTACAAATCAACTATATTTGATTAAGGATTGAATTGGATTGGCTTATTTAATTATGGCAAAGCATAGGAAGGCTATCTGCCTAAAGAGAGAGGGATGCCTTTATGGAGGACTTTTTAAGGAAAATTGGCACATATACACGTTACACATGCGGAAAACCACAAAAACACCCATGCGTCCAGCCCGTTCACGGGATTTGAACCTTGGACTGAACTACCAGTGTTCAGCGTCTTTACCGCTCAGCCGCTGGTGGGCTATTTAATTAAGGAATGACCATCTAAGTTTAGAAACAGAGTACCTAACAGCAATTCAATTATTGGTGCCGTATCTTTCATGTTACTCCTGATTGGCAAGCTACATGATTTTTAATGAGTATTCGGGTTTTGCTAGTAACTTCACTTGGAAATCGCACTTAAACTAGGTTAGTTGGTTGTTTGATCATAGTAAAAGCATGGGAGCTATTTGATTAAGATGCTTTCATAGAGAACCTTTGTAAAGAGAACCTAGAAAACTACGAAACCAACCATGCAGCCTGGGTTAGACTTCGCAACAAACCATTAGTATTTAACAATTTTCAAATGCTAGGCAATTGGTGAGGCTCCAATTAAACCTCCAATTTAATATTTTATTTGTAAATATTTAAAATATTGTATTCTTAGACACAAAAAGCAGAATTTAAGTTTTGTTAACTCGTTAGTAAACTACCAAGCCGTAGTGCAAATGAATATTCAATTTCTTTTGCAATAATTGTATTACTTGTATTCACTTAATATTCTTGGAATATGAGCTAAAGAAGAAACATTCTCGGAAGATTAAAGAAGTGTTGAAATCCAGTGCTATTAGCGTTTGTCTTACAAGCTCAGGATTACAACGATTCTGCAATTGCCCAAGTAGTTGACTTGTAAATGACTGTGAATTAAGCAGAATGACTTTTAATCTTACGTTTTTCAGTCAGAAAATGTATTCCAAATGTTTTCGTATTGCATGACAATGCATCTTTTCATTATTCAATAACCAGTCGGAGAACCGCTTGCTTATGTTCCGAAAATAAGTATGTGTACTCAATCTCGTCCTGCATGTTCTTCAAATTGGTCTTCTTGTGATTTTTTTTCTTTCCCAAAAACTAAAGTTGCCTCTCAAAGGAAAGTTTCTTTTGACATTGAAGAGACAAAAGGAGTATGAACATCTACCTTTAGAGGCATGTCAAAAACAGATCTCTACAAGCCTTTCTCTTCCATTACATGTTGTGCAGTCAGACAAAAAGTTGCATCAGCCGTAAATTCTATAATCTATTTTTATTACAATTTGATTACTTTATTAACATACCGTGAATATATACTAAATCTTTTACTTCAGCTTAAGTGATTCGGAATTTTTGACGGAATTGATGTCGGAACTAGGACTTAGAAGATAAGTCAAATTAAATATTTCGATAACCCAATAAAATCAAGGTCGAAGTTTCAGTATTTTATTTTCGGAGGGAGGGGAAATTTTTTCAGTTTTGGTCCATTATCCTAAGTATATTTGCTTCGATTCTTTATTTTTCCATAAAAGCGAAAAATTTACGCATGGTATACATATAATGCATAGCTTCAAATTAAAATTTAATAATATACAGAGTGGTTATAATTAAAGTTCCACATTGAAACGGTCATAAAAGGAAAACTACTGGATCAAATGTTATCAAACTTGGAAATCAAGTCATCGGAATTTATTTTCCGCAAAAAAAAGGTAGTTTGAAACCTCACCACCAGAGGTGAAATGTCGCTGTATGCAATATTGTTAAACGAAATATGGGTCGGAATGTAACTTAGCCTTTTGTTACATGGGTTTAATATGTTGTATACCCTTAAGAAACTTTGAAGTAGGCAAATTACCATTTAAAAGCGTTAAATTCGATAAAAGTCGAGTGCGCCATCCGTGTAAGGGAGAGAGCCCACCAGCGGCCGAGCAGTAAAGTCGCTGAACACTGGTAGTTTGGTCCGAGGTTCGAATCTAGCGAACGGGCTGGCAGCATGGGTGTTTTCGTGGTTTTCCCCATGTGTAACGTGTATACGAGCCAGTTTCCCTTAGAAAGTCCTCCACGAAGGCATCCCTCCCCTTAGGCAGATAGTCCTAGTGTGCTTTGCCGTAATTAAATACTCCACACCACACCGTGTAAGGGAGAAATTCGTCTGTGAAAACCACGAATTAGCGATTAGGAAAAGTGAGATCGCAAATCACTCGCACAAGTGCGTACAATCTGGAAATCATTTTCTTACAGTTCGCTAATTTGTAATTTTTTAAGCCTGAAGTCGGCACTAAAACATGAAGATACTAATTCAAAATGCTTTTAATCGATGTGGGCCAAAGAAATCGCTCTTGTTATCTATCTAGTTCCATTGCATTCTTCCTATTGCATTCGATTGCATAGCAGTCATTCCACACCGTTTGGTGGGTTGAATGACAGCTAGTTTTATAACTGAATCATTTTTCTCTGAAGAGCAAGTCGACAGCCTGGACCCACTGTGATTGCAGCTCGCTTAGAGTCAATGTTAAATGTTTCGTGATACACGAACTGAAGTAAAGTGGCATTTTAGATACTACGATTTTTATGCAGGGCTGGGCCCTACTTCACGTGTGTCGCACAGTTCTTAGGCAACATTTCACGAATGAACGTCTTATACGCCGACATTTTCCCTTTTCCCACCAGACCTCAAACTCTGTGACTTTTGGCTATGGGGTATCTCAAAAGCACTGTTTATGGTTATAATCTAAACAGTTTGGCAGAAATGAAAAATGTGATACACTGACATGTCCGTAACATTCCTCCTGATATGCTAAGAGCTGCTGTTGAGAATGCAGTAACAG